CTAGAGTTGGCAATATCAGCTGTTGTTGAAGGGAGAATACTCAAATAAACATAGAGTTGGCAATATCAGCTGTTGTTAAAGGAAGGATACTCAAATATACATAGAGTTGGCAATATCAGCTGTTGTTAAAGGAAGGATACTCAAATATATCTAGAGTTGGCAATATCAGCTGTTGTTGAAGGGAGAATACTGAAATATACATAGAGTTGGCAATATAAGCTGTTGTTAAAGGGAGAATACTCAAATATACCTAGAGTTGGCAATATCAGCTGTTGTTAAAGGGACAATACTCAAATATACCTTGAGTTGACAATATCGGTTTATGGCGGATTTAAGACGCGGCTCAAATTCATTAAATGTGACTCAGGGTTGAACTCTAATTAACCAAAAGTAACTCAAAGTTACTTAAAGTTACGTTGATATTTCTCTTTAATAAAGTACATACAGAATAGAAGTATCTATAAATGCAGGATGATATATTTCTATATTAAGAAGAGATATATATATAAACCTGCATCAATCAGTGTACAACTGAACTAGTATTTACATTTGTTTTCATTACCAGTCAAGAGTCAAGGGTGTGACTTAATATACGAATGTCAAGAAAGATAAAAGTATACACTCTCTGGTATCGCTGGTATCGCTCGGGATTTTACCAAATAGTTCTTCAATCTTGAAGTATAGAAACTAACTTTTTACGGCCTGAAAATTTTCGATTTCAAGCCTACAGAAAAGTGGATTGGCAAGGTCAAACCAATACCAAAGGCCTAGCTTAGACCTTAGAGGTTTACTTTTTCTTATTAATAAATTATATTNTATTTTTTATTTATAAATTATATTTTATTTTATTTTCAAATATGTTTTTTGAACCACCCCTGTGGCATTTGCTACATGGTATGTAGCCCGGTCTACAGGATTATCATACAAATTGTATCTCTTCTATGGTTTCCCATGGTATATATTAAGAAAGGGTTCTCATTATATGAATTGGATAGATATACAAAGATGATTTAATGTAGAACTTTATTTATATAAATACATAAAGTTTTGATTAAAACCTACATATTCAAATGAAAGTAAATGTATGTCAATTGCTCAATCTTACTTAAAATACTTAAAACTGGTTTTAATTAAGATCTCTCTGACTTGAATAAAGGTTTAAAAAATGCTTGCTCCAAACCAGTTCAAGGATTATAATCTATATAATGCAACAAGACAAGATCATGTTCCCTTTAGCCGGCCAAACGGCTGGACCAAATGGGCTGAAATTTTTGTGGACACTCATGGGTAGCCTGGAGGTGACATAGGCTAAGAAAAATCGAATATTTTTCTTCAAAAATTTGAAGTTCTTTTAATTTAAATTTTTTTCTTCAAACATTCAATTTTTTTCTAAATTCGATTTTTAAAAATTCCACGGGCAGGGCCGGGCCCTTCTGCTAGTATAGTCTATATATCTATTAAGTTTACAGTATCCAATATCTAAAATATACTCTAATGAAACCTGGCGACTGAGAAAGAATGAACGCTGCCAAATATTGGTCGATCCAATATACTTCTAATCATTTCCCAAAATAAAACTATAAAAATAATATTCTATTCTTTTGAACCTAAACAATCTGTTTTAGGGCAAAGTTTCTTTAAGTTTTGGTTTTCTTCATGGTTTTTTCATACAAGGAAATTCTAATTATGTCTGCACACTGCGTTCAAACCACTGTGCTTCCTACTAGAAGGAACAGCGTGAAACCAGAACTAGAGGAGCAACGAGGTCGCATATAGTCATACCAGTAATGTCAATTGAATTTAACCATGGTTCGTTTGCAGTGCCGATTAAATATTGATGGATTTTCTGAAATGCTCTTTAAAGAAACATAAAATCCAAATTCAAATAGGTTAAATAAATTTCTAATTTTGTATGGTCTAACACTGTTTAAAATGTCTAAAACTCTTTTTTTTGCAACGTAATGAGTCATGCAAAAAATACAAATTTTTCTTCTCTTTTCGTTTACATCTTGTGATATTTACATTTACCTAAGTACTCAAACACACTAAAATTGTGCACAAAGAGCTTTAAGAAATGCACATTTTTTAAACTACAAGGTTACTCACAAAGGATAGGACTGAGAACCTGCCACTATTTGAATAGGAGGACTTAGAGGTTTATTTTGGACAATTATACTTATTGCATTAAAGGGTAAATAAAATGGTCTGGCAAAGATAAAACAAAAATACAGCTAATATACAGGGTATCGGGAATTTAAAAAAAGGCTGTACAGTCATCTCTGAGGTCTCATTCGTTGTGTTAAACCCTATGTGTAAAACGTANTCATTCATCCTTCTCTCATTCATCCTTCTCTCATTCAGCCTTCTCTCATTCATCCTTCTCTTTATCATCCTTCTCTCATTCATCCTTTTCTCCTTCATCCTTCTCTCATTCATCCTTTTCTCCTTCATCCTTCTCTCATTCGTCCTTCTCTCATTCATCCTTCTCTCATTCATCCTTCTCGAAATAAATGAATAAATTCATTCAACCAAATTGCCAAAAGAAAAATTTTTCTATGATTTACATTAAATATTTTCTCTTCTTCATGGAAAATATATTATTAGATTTACTAGGAAAGGTTGCATTGGCTCTTTTAAAACAAATCTGAAATCTAGAAGATCAAAATAAGTATTTAGAAACATGAAAAGTAAAAATGGTAAAATTCAAAATAATAAGATTAGAAATAGGATTAAATAAAAACCCCGGTCAAACTTAAACAATTTTTACAACTAAATAATATTAATTAATTTTAAAATATTTAAGATCACATTATACTTTGTAGAACTATAAATCATTGCTGGTCTTTAATCAATAAAGGAATTGAGTCTGTGCCGTAAACTCAAATTTTGGAATCACTATATCTTTGTAACCTAATGGTATACACCTTTTATATTTGAAACTTTGATTACATAATCAAACAGAATTCATAGTTTGAAATATCTAAGGCCTATGGCATCGGGGTGTAAAGATATAAAAGATTTTAGGGATGAGAAAATCAAGTTTGTTGCAGAGACTTCAATCCTTTAAATTTTTCTAAAATTTGGTGATGGTGATGGACCAAACCTCTGTAGAGTAAAAAAGTAGATGTTAGTTCCACATTTATTGTAAATATATTTCGGTCTGGGTTGACCCTCGTCAGTTCTTGAGATTGTTTCTTCACAAAGATTAAAAACAAACTGATTCTCATTCTCAATTTGTACGATATTTATGTCTTAATAATGTCTTAATAATTATTTAAAAATAAATTTGCTGTTTCACAAACTATAAAGTCTGGAAAGATATATTAGGCTTACATTATTGCTTATTCTGCAAGGAATAATAGGAAAGGATTTTCCGGGTAGTAAAATAAAAAATATTATTTTCTATTTCAACTTCTCAATTTACAAAAATTTAAATTAAATCTAGTTAAACATTTTAAATATTCTTTTCACGGGATTGTAATGTAAGCGTGATTTCAAGTGACCCTACAAACAAAGAAGAAAATCAGTTAAAAACAGAAATCAGAAATGAAGATAAACAATTTTGAAAAAAACAAATCATGGATATCTAATCATACTTCACTCCTGTTGGCCGAGTCCACTAGCCCTTGATCCAATCAGGGTTCAGTCATATGTTTTGTATCTATTCTGAACCAATAGAAATAGCATAGCGGTAACATCTATCTTTCAATCTATCTCATTATCCAATTATCAAGTGACCCTTAATGTAAGGATGAAATGCTAGATTCACATCAATACCGGCCTTAAAAACCTTAATCTGATAAAAGAAAAGTGATTATTTCTGTTAGCTTCTACATTGCTTCTAATAAACAAAACATTTGCAAATCTCAACTAAATTAATTCAGTTTAAAAAACAAAAACAGCGGGTCGGCTTTTATAGGGAAAGTTTAGTTTTCATGCCAAGCTGGGTTCCGCAGCTCTAGTCACAATAAAAATATTTTAAATCTATAAAATAACCTTTGGATTCAGATGAATTATCTCTAGTAAAACAAGAATCAAAACTCTGTTTATCAAAAGAAATATAGGAAACGAACTGTGCACTCTGTGGACTTGAATTGATTTGCACAGAGGCATTAATTAAATATTTAGTTTTATTAAAAATTATCGTTTCCAAATTGTAAATACTTTAATTTATGGTTTTAATTAAATCCATGCAAAATCTGTAAATATTAAAATTTTTGAAAAAAGTCCATTGATTATTTGGTTCAAACCTTCGACTCTGTATAACCTGGTGCTGTAGAGTTTAGCTAGATCAAATATAATGCAAGGTTGACATTTCAAGATTTACACAATCAAGGTGTAAAAATATCTAGGGATTATAAAATTCAAATTTGTGGTCGAATGTTTTTTTTTGTCAAAGAAAAAGTTACTATTTTAATAATGAAATTTTTTGTAGGAGTATGAGAGACACATGAAAAGCTTTGGAATATCAGCAGTACAGTACAATACAGTTCCAACCACTACCTGGAAGGACAGTACAGTGTACACTAAACCAGTTCCACAATATCAAACAAACAAACATCTAGATATCAAAGAGGTAGGTTAATCTTCATGCAGATATGATTCTACAATTAAACCATTTTTTAATTATCTTATGTAATATTTTCATTATCAAAGATATTAAGTTTTTGTCACTAAAATCTTATATTCCCTATTTTTGAAACCTGAAAACCTTTGATATTTTAAACTAAAATTATTGGATCTAACATAATTCATATTTTTAAATATCTAAGGTCTACGGCATTGGGTTGCAAAGATATAGGGATTAGTAAATCATCTAGGTTTTGCAGCAAAGACTTAATTATCTTGTCCACAATGTCAGATAAAAAAGTCTAAGTTTGATATATCAAAGGTTAACAACAAATAGACTATCAAGTACAATATGTGGCAACAGAGAAAGGGACCAATTATACACGATGTCAGAAGTGTCAAATATAACAAGAAAAACGAAGTTTTCTTACATTAGTTGACATGTTTTCCAAGATTAAATAAAAAAGTGTAAAAACAGAAAATTAAGTACACATAAAATGCACTTATTTTACTGTAAGATAAGAAATTTTATTTTAAAATAATCACTATTATTAATAATTTTTTCGGACACAAAAACTAAGTTGACTCTTGCGGTTTGGGAAAACAGCTTCATTGAGAGTTTACAAATTGTAATATGCCATCTATTGTTCTAGAATCTATTTGGTTGCAAAGATTTAAGGGTTAGAAACAAAGAGAATAGAATATATATTAGAGGGGAATTTAGACTCTCGGTATGATTTTTTTCAGTCCCTTTCCGCCTGAAAGGGAGTTCAAAGTGTACAAATCATGTAAATGTTCACAAATTATATGCAGTAGAGTACATTAATACAGTATGTTCCCTAGACTATCATTTCAATTTCGAATTTTTTAAAGCTGTTAAATAAACTTTATAATGAATTAGGTGAATAAAAAACATCATTTGATTTATAGTTATAACGGAAAATCATCGTTTGTAAAGTGAAAGGCATAGAGTCTATGTGAAATGATCATTGGTCAATTATGAAACCAGCCTATTTCATAATTTGGTTTTCTTTTAGTGTTAATTTTAGATTTTCTATAAAATGATATACCAGGGCCCAAAAGGTTATATAGCATAAATATGTGAAGTACACCTGCAGTATGGAAACAGTACAACAAAATGGCCGTTTTACACTTTTTTCTAGTATATTCCCCTCTAATATATATTCTATTCTCTTTGGTTCGAAAGCTAGTTTGTTAAATTTTTTTAAAAAGTTAACAATTCTAAACACTGCAATGAATCGTCTTGTCTTTTTGGGATGGGGGGGAGGGGAGGCGAAATAACACTTGCTTCAACCCAAAATTTTCTAAATCTAAATATTTGCATCTTGATGGTGCAAACCTTTGATATTTCAAACATTCATTATTAGATCTCACAAAAATCCCTATTTAAAATATCAAAAGTTTAAGTTTGAGGGAAGCGTTTAGGTTCAATTTATGCTTACTTGGTAAACCACAAAAAATGTTAGGTTTTTAACCAATGAGAATAGAATATATTAGAGTGGAATTTAAAAATCCCTCGGTATGAAATTAGTCAGTCCCTTTCAGCCTGAAAGGGAGTTCAAAGTGTACAAATCACGTAAATGTATACAAATTATACGCAGTACATCACACTTATACAGTATGATCCCTGGACATATCCATTCCAATTTCTTTGTTTTATCTTTGTTAAATTACTAAAAACGTGTGTATTTGCTATACAGGTGAATTAAACTGTAATAATAGTTGTTTGTAAAGTGAATTTGATAAGAAATATTTTCTATAAAATGATGTTCCAGGGCCCAAAAGGTTATATAGCGCAAATGTGTAAATTACACCTGCAGGATGGAAACAGTACAACAAAATGGCCATTTTCGAGTAAATTTCACTCTAAAATATATTCTAATATAACAAATATGCATTCAACCCACCCTACTACACGCTAAATTCATTAATCAAATTCCAGTCAAATAAAAGCAGCTGATATAATTATTATATTACATATTAACGAGGCAATAATTTATTTAATATTTACATTTTTATTTACACTGCCTTTTCGTTTGAGCTTCGGTTTATTTGGTGTTGAATGTACACACGAGAACTAATTACATAATAATGGATATTTTATAACTGGGTATCATGCAACTTTACATTCTTCACTTTAGGGGGAACTTTTAAAATAACTGGCTTTACTTCATATTCAAATATTCATATTCATATTCATATTCATATACAATTTAGATTATGACTATTTTCAAACACATGTATATAAAATTACACCGCTGAGATTTTTTTGAGATTTGATGCAAATCCACTGTGCTTTAAAGATTAAAGAAATACATGAAATGACACAGAAGAACCGAATTTTTCATTGGTTCGCGCACATGTTTAATTTACTAGTGTCGTTCATTTTAGAGCTGTTGGAAGAAAATTTGTTTAAACATTCCAGTGATACTGATTCTCCATTTTAATTAGTTCTATTTTGTTCAGGAGGATACAGATCTTGATCTCAGTGAAGCCTGTAATCTAACCAACAAGGAACTAGACGACCTAATGGATGATGACACCCATCCTGTCTCCTCCTGCGACCCAATGCTGTCCTCTCCTGCCCCATCCTCCACCCTCTCCTCCTCCTCACCCACCTCCATCTACTCAAACGACGATACCCTCTCCCCGGACTCTATTGACCTGCTCTGACAGACCCCCGAGAGGACTGGAGGATTCAAGACAGCTTCCAACCCTCTCAACAAAACCTTAAAGAGACAGATTTCGGCAAATGTTCAAAAGCTCCTCAGCGCCGACTTCTACATGCTTTCACAAGAGAACAGCTTTTCCCGTCAGGAGAGTCGAGATTCATTGATTGAGGTAGCGCTGGACAATACGGAGCAAATAGTATCAAAACTACTTGGCAAGAACAGCAGAAATGTTCTAAACTCGAGGCAGACAGCCCAAGAGCTGTGATCCTAGCTTGTGTCAATACCTGGTCACCACAGAGCTGTCATTTCAGCTGTGCGGTCAACTTCTAGAATCGAACTTAATATAGAAACAGTAACAAACAAGCTGTTAAATTGTTAAACACTTACTTCCTGTACATCTGATAGAGTACAATACTACTCTCTAGCTATATACTAGCTTATTCTTTATTTTCCTGTGATGTTCATAGCTATTACTAAATAGCCCGGTAGAGATTAGTTGGCTAGGGTTTGTTAATTTTTAGCTGCAGTGTGTTCAGATATACGTAAATGCCTTCTCATGTTAAGGAGATCACACAAAATCCTGTTAGACTAACTGTTATAATTATATATCCAAGGAAATTTTATCATATGTTAATTAAATAAGGGATCAAATTTTGGAGCAGTGTTGGATTTATCAGCTCCGGACTTCTCCATTCTTTAAGTGTTAAATTTTTCAAGCTGATTCTTTGTAAATATGAAGCATATCAATGTTACACTCTGTTATTATCCTTGCTATTTAAATGTATCCAGTTGTATGGTTCATCAATACTTTTTTATTACAACTCAATTCTAAAATCAATCCATTTTTGCAAACAATGAATTGATTAAAATTGACAAATATTGAGTTTAGCAACTAAAACAATTGTACAAATGCGCTAAGTAGCTGATTTCATTTACAAAGTGAACTAGGGAGCTGATTAAATGTACAAATTTTAAGCAATCAGCAAGCAGATACAATGTACACACAGTGAGCTCAGCAGCTGATTTTTAGCAGCTTATTTAATGAACAAATTGCTACAATTGTAGATACAAGCAAATACTTAGCGAAGCAGCTAACTAATTGTATAATTTTTAAACTAAGTAGTTGATTTAATGTACAAACAATAAGTTAAACAGCTTGGTAGAGCTAAGCAGCTTATTGCGTGTACAAATGTCCATATATATGAAACAAACACTAAGCGAAGCAGCTAACTTTTCAAACTAAGCAGCTGATTAAATGTACAAATAGTGAGCTAAATAGCTGATTAAATGTACAAATAGTTAGCTAAATGGCTGATTAAGTGTACAAATAGTGAGCTAAATGGATGATTAAATGTAAAAATAGTGAGCTAAATGGCTGATTAAATGTACAAATAGTGAGCTGAATGGCTGATTAAATGTACAAATAGTGAGCTGAATGGCTGATTAAATGTACAAATAGTGAGCTAATTGGCTGATTAAATGTAAAAATAGTGAGCTAAGTAGCTGATTAAATGTACAAATAAAGTTCAAGCCGCTGATTCAATGCAACCTAACTGGTTAAAAAATACATCCAGAGTTATTATTCTTAATTAGAAATTTGACCAAATTTGTAGTCAGAAAACAAAGATCGAGCAGAAGAAAAAACAGCTGATACCTTGCTCAACAGCTGATAATATTAAATAACTGAAATCAGCTGATTGGCCAGTCACCTTTGTTTAACATTATTATTATGTCTACATAATGTCTCTGTTACTGAATGAGTTTGTATAAAAGGAATATTGGTTTACTGAAAAGACTCTCAAACATTTTAATACAATATTAACCTGGTATTACGGTATTACAGGCAGGGTTAGGTCGATAAACATGGCAACCGTAGTGTGCACTGTTACAACAGTTATCCATTTTGTAGTATCATTTGTTCTTGACATAACCCTGTTCTAGAATATTCCAATTTTTGTGTGCTTTTACTTTTGAATTCCTTAAGTTGCTGGAGTACTTTTACTTCAATACCTTCCTGGAGTAATATTCCTTCAATGTATTTCTGGAGTACTTTTACTTCAATAAATTCCTGTAGTACTATTCCTTCAATATATTACTGGAGTACTATTCCTTCAATATATTCCTGGAGTACTATTTCTTCAATACCTTCCTGGAGTACTATTACTTCAATATATTTCTGGAGTATTGATCCTTCAATACATTCCCGGAGTACTATTCCTTCAATATATTCCTGGAGTACTATTCCTTCAATGTATTTTGGAGTACTTTTACTTCAATACATTCCTGGAGTACTATTCCTTCAATGTATTTCTGGAGTACTTTTACTTCAATAAATTCCTGTAGTACTATTCCTTTAATATATTCCTGGAGTACTATTCCTTCAATATATTCCTGGAGTACTATTTCTTCAATATATTCCTGGAGTACTGATCCTTCAATATATTCCTGGAGTACTGATCCGTCAATATATTCCTGGAGTACAAATTCTGCAACATATTCCTGGAGTACTGATCCTTAAATATATTTCTTGAGTATTGATCCATTAATATATTCCTGGAGTACTGATCCATCAAGTATTGATAGTTATAAAACAATGATTCTTTAAAGTTTCAGAACCTTTATAATTCGTGTTATTTGAAACAGTTTGATCTTAAAAAGACTTTATTAAGAATTTAATTGTCGTAACACCTTGAAATCATGACTGCCAGCCACTGTAAACTTGATCTAAAATCTGATTTACTTTCAATACTCGGGTTCCGAACCATCTAACATGTTTTGTAAAACAAAGTATTTGTGAGCAAAATGCAGCAGTTTTATTTACAGCTGAAACCAGTTTAAAAGGTACACAAGGATATTTTAGACATGCCCTTTAACGATATTAATGCTTTGAGGTCTCTGGATGTTGGCTTTCCCATAGTATTTATGGATAATTGTTATATTTAAAAATCAGATTTATTTATTAAATTCACTGTAGATTTATTGTACATGTATGACAGAAAATGACAAAATATCATTGTGAAAATGAATCGATAAATGATTATTAAAAATAAAATAATTTATGAATTTGAAAGACGGTAAAATACAGTGAATTATTACACAAATATCTACAAAAAACGTGTGAATGCGTTTTGATTTTTAATCGCTGATCTTCTTTTTCTTTTTTAAGTCTCTGGGACCAATTATTAAACAAGGATGACCATTTGAACAATTAATTATATTTAGTTGTTATTATCAATCATTATGATTTTGAATTATTAATGTAGACCCATGATAAACCAACCGTCATTCACACGTTTTTATCAAAACTGCACTCGGCACCTTCCCCAAATTATACAAATCAATAAACTTTTTTTTCCAAATACAAAAATAGAATCTGAATTTACTTCATACTGAAAAAAGATGCACTTATAAAAGAAAACTAATATTTCAAATTGTTTGTTGCCGAGTGTTTGTGTTTGAGTAGTTTAGCTGAGTTTAGGGGTACACCATGTACACCCTGTATATCTGTTTTAACATTATTTGCTGATAGTTTAGGGGTACACCCTGTACACCCTGTATATCTGTTTTAACATTATTTGCTGATAGTTTAGGGGTACACCCTGTACACCCTGTATATATGTTTTAACATTATTTCCTGATTAGGATTTGTTAGCAATAAAATATAAACCACAACCATAATTATTTATTTTTTGTCAATTTCATAATTCACAGGAACTTAAAGCGTAATTTCAAGTGACCAGCTATGGCAATGCCCGAGTTACAACGGTACCCCTTAAAAACATTTGTATGTTTGTCGAGTAAAGAAATATCTGTATGCAAACTTATCGAAACCCGCTGATACAAAATTACAAACTCTTTATTAGACAGTTTACAGATATGTCAGAAATATCTGACAAAAAGATAAATCCCTATCTCCATGTTTGTAATTTCATACAAAGTGTTCACAATTTCGAATGATTTCGGTAAGTTCGATAGTTAAGAGTAGATCGATGATCTAGATCTGAGAAAATTTAAGCATTTCAAATTTTCTAACGAAATTGAGTCTTTATAGAAGCTAAAAAAAGAAGTAAAGTAAGAAGCGATTGAATCCAAAGGAATTGAATCTTTGCCACAAATTCTAATTTTATAATTCCTATATCTTGACAACCCAATATTGCAGAGCTTAGATATTTTAAACGATGAATTCTGTTTGATTAAATAATTTAAGTTTAAAAGAGCAAAGGTTTCATTTGCAAAGTGTGAATTTTATAACCTCAGAGATACAATGCAAAGAGCGGGTTGAGATGAAGTAGGTAAGGGCCTAAGGGATAGAATACCAGAGCAGGGTCGGTTGCATGCATTCAATCAGTTTAACCCGAGACCGGATTAAAAAAATTTGAACCCTGTCGCTGAACCGCCAATAACTGGCTACAACCAAGCGCCGGCTCAAATCTCAAAACACTTTCGAATTGAACCAAATTATATATAAACTTAATTCTTGAAAACCAGTTTAACGCGATGCTAAAACTTAAATTTCAAATGTCATGAGAGTGCTAGGACAGAAAACTAAAAGGGGGGGTTCAAACGTGCCAAACCCCAGCCTGATTAGGGTTAAATATCAGTTTATATTTTTTCTTTAACTTAATTCTCAATAATTACCTGAACTCAGTGCTTAACCCGAATCCTGCGTCTAAATTTAATCTTCAATAATTAGTTTAACTCGGTGCTTAAACTTGAATAACAGTTTAACTCTTTAAGTTAAACTTAATTAAAGATTAATGCACAGAAAAAGCTTAATACTTGTCCGTTAATAAATTGGGCTCTTGGATGAAATCTGGATGATATGTGGGTGATATTTGGATGATATCTGTCTAATATAAATGACATATAAATTTGCCCCTTAGGATTAAAATAGGAAAGTGTTTAATACATGCCCTAAGTTCAACTTTTTAGGACAGCTGAATAAATAAGAAATTATTGGTAATGTTAAAATGACACCTTGTATTTTGAAATGAATAGAGTTTGCTTGCTGTGTAAATTGCGTTGATAGGTTTAACCCTTTGGATAAAGATCAAGAGAAGATTTAACAAGATTGAGAGATACAAAACAAATTTACCTCTAGGGAAATGTGATAGACAGTGCTTTCTTCTGGACAAAATTTATTTAACCCTGATCAGGCTGGGGGGGGAGGAGGCGTTTTTTTGTCCTATCACTCTTATTTTTGACAATCGCTGTAACATTTTTTGACTTTTGATGAATAGTAATTTAAAGGATGTTTTGTTCAAAAAATATATTTTTTAATTTATAGGGTACAGGGCGGAAAAAAGTCCGATCTGTGAAAAAAATAGCCCATAACTTTTTTTATGACTAAAGCTACAGATCTAAATTTTTGAAAAGCCCTTGAAAAATGCATGTAGAAACATGTGTAACACTTTGATATTTGTTTGAAACAAAAAAAAATTTCAGTTTTTTAACCTTTTTTAGGCATTTTTTTCCAACCTCCCTAGCACCCTAACTATTAAAGTTATCGGTCTATTTTTATTTCTTTGAGTTGCCCATGAAAAATTGGACTGAACATGCATTTAAACCTTGTACCTATTCTCTAAGGCCTTTTTATAGGAGGGGGCGCCATATACATAGATTCAGACCCCCCAGCCTTTATAGGGTTAAATGTCAAATGTGAGTTCACTTATTCCTAACCTATTTTAACCAATCAAATGAATGTTTCTTAACCCTGAAATCATTTAGTCAATTCAGAAGTTTTTAAGCTCATTGGACTAAAACAAACAAACAAATAAATGTCAAACAAAAATGTTTTTGACAATGGCACAAAAAGTCGTTCTAAATGTTTCCTTGGATCTTCTGTTTTGGAGTGAACTACAAAATTGGGTGAAAACTGATTAAATGTTCAATTGTGGTTTCACTATATAACAAAGTGACTTGCTCATTTCTACTACAGGAAAGCGTTTAGGAATTAGGAGAATTAAACACTTTTCAAGCAATTAACAATAGTATCTTCCTTATAATTGTAAACATGGTGTATATTGTCATCTTTATGTAAAGGTTTACTTGAAAATACAATAATTCAGTCCCTTAATGATATAAAAATTCAAGCAGTGTATTTTTAGCAATTTTAAGCTTCTTTAGAAAATAAAATGTTTGACAAGAGTAATAAAGTGTTCTTGCATTTTCCTCTGAATTGAATTGACGAAAATAAAAACATTTTATTTTCATTTAATCTAAGCGTAAGTTGGAGTATTTTTAAATTAAAATTGTCAATCTCTGTCCAATAAACGTTAAAACGGCTGAACCGATTGAGCACGATCTTTTTGTAACCACTCAATTGACTCTAGAAAAGTTTTATAAAGATGGCTAAATCTAAACAAACTTTCCCTGAAAATAATGTCGACATTGTTTTTTTTAAATGCGCAAATTTTACAAAATACCCTCACTATATGATTTACAGAGAGCACGGTTAGCAGCTGAAATTGTTACTAGAAATGAGTGCTCACATATATATTTAGAAATAAGTGTCCATAAATATAGAATAGGCCATCCATCAAGCTTAATAAAGGGTTAAACTTTGTTAACACTGAACACTGGTTTCCTATACATTGTTTGTACTTTTTAACTAGTTTAGCTAGTGTAATCATTACTCGAGTTAGAGATGGGAATCGGTTTTGTTAACAAACAAAATATTTCGTAAACGATGGCGTCGTTCAGAAAGAATAACGAATGATAAACTAGCAAATTGAATCGGCCAGATCAAAATAAAAAAATTTTAAAAAATTTAATAAACCAACGTTTAGTTAAAAAATCCAACAAACAATGATTCACAAAATATACGACAGAAAAAAAACTGAATTAAAAAAGAAACTCGAATATGCCCGTCTTTAGACTCCATTTAATGTCAACCCTGATTTATGATTTATTCTGAGGCGTGCAAAATTATATTTACATTATATTTGTGCAAACATGTCGGCAGTATGACAATGGGGAAATGGAACTCAGTAAAAGTTGGATAAATTGGACTAGAAAAAAATATATGTTTCTTTTTTAATGTAGGACACTAACTGATACTTAAGATAAAAAATAAGGTAGCCCTAAACTATTTGCCCTAGTTTTTCAATTTAAACCGCCGAAAAATCATATAAATACAAATTTCAAAAAGAATTCAAAAAGTAAATTCTTTTTCATTCATTAATTAATTTAACACTTTTCAAAATCATGATTAGACTCCATCATACGATCTTTATTCGTTTTCTTTTTGAGTTTTTTTTAAACCTTCGTTTTCAGGAAAAACGCAGGGTTAGTTCAATGAACTGTTTGTTTTGATAATTAAAAAACGAAATTAAAAAAAACGATTGTTTTTGTAATTGTTTCCTTAGTGATTATGAATGTCGTACGATTTGGTTTGAGTTTCATTAAAAACCGTTTAGGATCTGTTTCAACTTTAAAAAATTTACCTTTGCGTGTTCTTTTTGTGTACATTGTAAATTAAAAACAACATCAAATTTTGCGGATTTTATTAACAAATTTCGTGGATTTTCAAAATTTTCAAGAATCGGATTTTGTTAGAGGCAAAGTTTTGAAAATTCTATGATCCATAAACCTTCCCTGTGTCCGGGAGGTCCCACAAACAAATTTGGGCCGATCGTTAGGATGTTTATTTGATACAAACAAACAAAATGACAACAAAGTATATATATAGATTAGTTCCTTTTCAGAAAATTGAAAACGATCCATCCAAATATACCATACACGACATATATGCAGTACACAAATAATTTCTATATTTCAAATCTTGCAGAGTGCATGTGTGCTAATATATTTGCATATATCTGAAGCAGTGAATAGTCAATTATATTTAGTTTCTGCATAGTCACAATAGACTCCCAAACTTAAACTTCTGGCAAACTGTTTACCAAGTAGTTAGCAAAGTATTCAAATAAATGCTGGGGTCATGGATATACAAATATATTAATATTATGATTAAAGGGCGTTCTGTTCTATGTATAATCTTGGTTAGGTGAGAATTGTAAGCAAGAGTTTCAAATTAAAATCAAAGAGAAGTTTTCTAGATTTTACTGTTTTCATTGGTGTNTAAAAAGGTTAGTCTTTATAGCGTACATTGACAATGTAATAAAGAAAACCATATACCACCGTAAAAACAAACCAAGCATTGGTTTAAAAAAGAAAATAAAAAAATTTCGTCTGCGGCGCGCTTCTATGCACCCCCCCCCCCTGGAAAAATCCTGGTTACGGGCCTGGTTTAACTGTACGAACAAGTTTGAGAAAATTAAATTTATCCGAAATCAGAAATCCAAACTTTTAAAAAAAATCAGTTATGGCTAAAAACATAAAAGATTTGAATCTGATGTGCAATTTTACTTGAGTTTGATTTAATGCCCAATTATTTAAAAGTTTTCATCTTGGTTAGTTTAGCGAGTAAAGGATGCTTGATATAATATTCCTGGTGTCTGGTGTATGCTAGTGTGCTCTATCTTCTAACTGAATAAATTAATAAACTAATTAATTATTAATTCTAAGTTTAATTGACTGTGTGACTATATTCTATTCATCCTTTGTTATAAATATATAGTTTTTGGAACCAAACATCATCCTTCATCCATCCTTACAATTCATCCTAATTTGTTCTCTTTATTATTTCATCCGTCCTAACTTTATTCATC